ACAAACAGAAACAAGACATACACATGGAGATTGAACAGCATAATGCTCAAAAATGATTGAGTAATCAATATACGGAGGAAATAGAATTCCTCGAAACAAACAAGAATGATAACACATATATCAAACCTCTGGGGCACAACAACATCAGTAATCAGAGGACAATTTATGCATTCAGCGTGCACATGAAAAAGCAAAAATCCAAAATCATCACCCTAACAAAACACCTTTAAGAACTGGAACAAGGACAAACAACATAAAGCATCAAATAAAAGACGAGAATAAGGATAAGAGCAGAAACAAACTTCATTTGGAGTCAGTTTTTATTTAGTTGGAAGAGGGTCAGGACCATAGTTTCTGCTATATAGTATTATCTCATAATCGTCCCAAATTAATACACATTTCTATAATGGTAATCAGTGAGTTTCAATGAGAATTCATGACCAGAGGAGGGGGTCATATGTCTGTCTCTGAATAGGTGATTTCACTTCTGATGGTGGGTAAACCTGCAGGTAAAATGCCTAACGTTACTTATATTGACTCCCAAAGGGAGAATCTGCCCAATTTATGTTGCTAATCATGTATTTTTTATTGAATTTTATTTCAATCCTCTGTGATCCTGGCTATAGGCTACCTGGATTTTAGACTTTGTCTTTTTAAGATACACAACATTCTTGAAAGACCACATTAGAATTGTGTGATTTAGAAACCCACTAAGGGAAACAGACTTTATTTTAAACACTGCTGTGAATTCTCTGTAATGGAAATGAATTAGCAAACCCAGTCACAGAAATAGAATACTTTCAGAAGGAATGATTATTGTCAGAATAGGGTGAAAAGGAATGAAGGGGGTAGGAGCATAACGGATCTCTGCCTTGTGGCAATAAACCTTAGTAGTCCCAAGAGGTCAAGTGTGACCCGAATCCTCAGCTACAGAAGATTTTTTCATAGTATTGAAGATCAAGGATGTCACTCTGAGGACTAAATGGAGCAGAACAGTGTCAGAGAGGGTGACAGATATTAAGCCCCAAAGGTCAAAAGGAACTCGAAATATGAGAGAGGAAGGGCTGCCTTCTCAAACTAGAGTTGACCATATGGCATGAATGGAGCAGAACCTGAAGGAATAAAGCCTTTTGGACCTTCATTTACTGATGGGGTAAAACTCAAAATGTGAGGAAACGGCTGCATTTATTAATTTGAATGTACAAAGTATGAATCTAGGAAAATTGCAAGGCATCAAAATTAAATGGAACACATAAAGATTGATATCCAAGGTATGGACTGGTATTGGCCTATTGAATAAAAAATTATATTGGTTACTCGGCTGGGAATGACAGAATCAAGAATGACATTGCATTCACAGTCAAGATCTATCTTAAAGTACACTGCTGTCTGTGATCAGTTTAACTATCTGCAATCAAGAAAATTCAGACAATAAAACTACTATTCAAATTGACACACAAACCATTTTGCCAAGTATTCTAAATTTTTTACCAAACCATTTTACCAAGTTACCACCGCCTCAAATTCCTGTGAAAGTTGGACAATGTTTTAAAAGAGAGAAAGTCGGACAATTGCTAAGGAAGCCAGCAAAAGAGAGGAAGACAGCAGAAGATGCATTTGAATTATGGTACTAGCGAAGAACATTGAAAGTACCATGGCCTGCCAAAAGAACAAATAGGTCTGTCTTCAAGGAAATATAACCAGAATGCTCCTTTAGTGGCAAGCTTGGTCAGACTTCATCTAATGTGTTTTGGACATGTTACCAGGAGAGACCCCCTGGAAAGGACATCATGCTTGGTAAACTAGAAGGGTCGAGAAAAAGAGGAAGACCTTTGACAAGATGAATTGGCAGTGGCTTCAACAATGTGCTTAAACATAGGAAAAATTGTGAGGATGGCCCTGGGAAGGGCAGTGTTTTCATTGCATTATACGTGAAATTTTTGTATATCAGAACCAACTCCATGGCACCTACCAACAGCAACATATGCATACTTAGTTAATAAGGCTGACCACGGAACAACTGATACATTTGAATTATGGTGTTCTCAACGAATCTTGATGGTGCCAGAGAACTAAAAGAACAAGCAAATCTGTCTTGAAAGAAGTACGACCAGAATGCTCCCTAGAAGCTAGGATGGTGAGATGTCAACACAGAAGCTTTGGACATTGTCAGAAGAGTCCCTAAAAAAGTCATCATACTTGGTAAAGCAGAAATAGTCAACCAAAAAGAGGAAGACCCTCAAGGAGATGAACTGACACAATGACTGCAACAATTAACTAAAACATAACAACAAATAGGACGATGGTGCAGGAATGGGCAGTGTTTTGGGTTTTTGTATATCAGGTTTCTATTAGTCAGTACTGCCTCGGTGGTACCAAACAATAACAACAACAAACCTTAAAGTTTTATATCCAGGTGGCTAGAGTAACAGTTCTTATATTCTTTTCATTCTTCTTGCAATGTCTTCCCTAGCCAATTCCAGAACTCCAATACTAAATAGCCCTGGTACCATCATGACCTCCCATCCCAAGCCACCATTCTTCATAGGTGATTTTTTTAATTTGTTGTAAAAACCTATTTTACAGCAGAGTTTCTATGAGTTGGAACCCGTTTGATGTCACCTAATAACAGATTCAGAAATAACTTCATGGCATTGTGTAGTCCTTTCCTAAACCAGCTTACATCACCATCACTACCACCCGCCCCCCACGCCCCCACAACCACCTGTTCTGTGCTTCCATCTTCTTGCATCAACATGTACCTTATAACTTCTCCTATTTTTAAAATTATAAAATAATGTTAAATTGTGAGAGAATTATAGCGTTGATGCAAAATAATCTGTCTCTCTCTATCTACTCTTATAAAGGCACTAGTCATTGAATTTAGGGTCCAGTATGATTTCATCGTAACAACTTTATATCTGCAGGAGACTCTATGTCGATATAAGGTCACATTCCAAAGTGTCAGTTGGACATGAATTTAAGGGGATACTATTTAACCTCCAACCGTAAACATGTGGCATTTTGTCCCAGGTACAGTCTTGCATAACCACCACCCCTGTTAATAGCCATAACTATGATATGGGAGGTATATCACAGTATCGCATTGTAGTCCTTCTAATCTTTTAAGATCTCATTCGTTACCTATGTGGAGCCTTTCATAACGTGCTCCTGAAAAGTTGTTTAAGCCTTCCTCTGTGCCATCTCTGATTCTTAATTTATTACTGTATTTTAATCATTTATTCTCCTAGTCTTTCTCTCTCCCCCTATTCCAAACTATATGAAGATAAGAGATGTGCCACATTTATATTTGTTTCAGTAACATCTGGTGCAGTTACCTGCTAGGTACACATTCAGTACTCAGTAAATGTGTAATGAGAGAGAATGAATTTTTAAAATTAGTCTTGCTTGCTTCCACCTTCCTTACCTTAAAGTGTAAACCTTTTAAAATAGAGTCCATGGCTTTCTCTTCCTATTCCAGCAGCAGCTCATAGGGTGCTCAGTACACATAGATCCTCAGTAAATATTTGCTAACTATTCAGATGCCTTATCTTCTCCCTGCACCCAGGAGATAAGCACATGAAAGGGAAAATAGGTGTGAGTATTCTTATATTTAGGATCACGTGCTATAATTTGTGTAATATTTTTAAAATCTCCACACTCAGTAGATATTTGTCTCTATAGATGAAAAATGAAAACAATTCTTTGATTCAAATAATTAGTCTATAGCCCAAGAACTTTTCAATGGTTTCAATGCCTTGGTTACATATAAATTTGGGAAGCACGCTTTTAATATCCCTGAATTCCTTTTGCAATTTCAGAAGGATCTGGGATATTTCTGTCTTTGCTGGACTGGTGTAATTTGACATGTTTAATATGAGCTGGTCATTAACCCTAACATTTTTTAATCACTTTTGACTCTGTATTTTCTCAACTATGAAGTATGTTCATTCGCACTTGTTTATGTTTCTTTAAGAATTACTCAGACTCTTCAGGGCTGGTGTGTGTTTTGTCTGGGAAGTAGATTGTAAGACCCTTGAGAGCAAGGACCTTATCACTCTTAGGAATGCATTCTGGACATTTGCAGTACTCAATTAATGATAATATTGGAAGCCTTACTAAGATCATCTGTCACAGTGGCATCTTCTTTTCATTTATTAAGACTTTACTACAAAAAGCATATTTGATAGCATTTCATGATTCTACTGCAAATTGTGTCATAATTAGTATAACTTGTTCTTTAAGGTGCTTTCAGATGTATACTTCTGGATCCATTGATTCAGTTCCTATCCCTTTAATACCAAGGTTACATAAGAATTTGGGAGGACAGCATCTAACATTCTTTGGCTCCTTTTATATAATAAAAAGCCAATAACATCTATGCTTTCCAAAGTATGAACTTGACCCATAGGCCCCCATTAATAATTAGATGATAAACTCCAACTACATTTACAATCTGAAGTTATTAGAAATAATAATTAATCTATGCATATGCCTTAATCTATGCATATGCCTTGCCTTCTCAGGTTTTAAAACGGAGAATATGTACACATTATATCCTAAGACTGTTAAAGCTAAATTTGAGTTCTTAAAAAAAAACCGGGTAAATTTCTACCTTGTAAAGGATGGGAATGGAGGGGAAGTTTTGTTTCTTAAGTCAGGTTTATTAAGATATAGGAAGGGTCTGGTGGCACACTGATTCAAGCATTCAGCTATTAACCAACAAGTTGTTGGTTAGAGCCCACCAGTTGCTCTAGAGGAGAATGATGTGGCCTTCTGCATCCTTAAAATTTTAAAAACTTGGAGACACAATGGGGTAGTACTACCCTGTTCTACAGGGTCACTATGAGTTGGAATCTCTACAGTAGAGTTTTGATTTTAGTTTGAAACTCTTCTCTTATTCAACTATACCCAGCAACTTTCTCAGAATGACCATTAATCCTAGAACAAACTAATTTCCCTTTGTAAAAAATCTTTTGTATCCTTTCTCTTTTCTTCAGTGTGTTAAAGGAAGTATACACAGCCTTTAATCCCGAAGCAGTGGTTTTACAGCTTGGAGCTGATACAATGGCTGGGGATCCCATGTGTTCTTTTAACATGACTCCAGTGGGAATTGGCAAGTGTCTTAAGTACATCCTTCAGTGGCAATTGGCAACACTCATTTTGGGAGGAGGTGAGTACAAAGGAAGATTGCATGAGAATTTGTTGATGTTCCTCCACATATTTTTACATCGACACTAATTTAAACTTGCTTTCTTAGATTGAATAATACCAAACTACCTACAGCCCAGAAACCTGAATCAATGAAATCTATCACCCTGTGTTTTAACAAACTTCTCAGCTTGGCACTCTGAAAACTTAAGTTTCAATTCATGAAGCAAGGGTTCTTTGGTTAATGGTTACCTCAGATCTTAAAAGCATAAAAGTTGTTAGCCCCAGTGGACTCTGATCTGTCTTCTCTCAGTACCATGTTTGATTCTCAGTTCTAATAATCATCTCTTGAAATCATAATACTAAAATTCTAACCTTACTTATATATTAGTAAATATGTAAAATGAATATCTAAGCTGAGTTTAAGAACAATTTCTCACTCCCCAGAAAAAGACAAACAAACATTAATTTGTTAAAATCTGACAAAATTGATAGTTACAAAGTGTGTCTTGGACATTTTTATCTTCAATGTATACTGATATTTTTTCATTACTTGGCCAATAAAAAACTGAGTCTATTCAATAGAAGGTTTTGCACATTTGTGCAAGGGATCTTTTACAATGTCAAGCACTTCTCAAGATGCCTTGCTAAGAATTTTCAGTCTTCCTACCTGGTACAATCTTTATTTCATTGGAAAAATGAATGATGTGTTAAAATGACATGTTCAAGTAAATTGATTTTAAAGTATATATATTAAAGGGCTGTTAAATAGCTTATTGGGTTTTGAGTTTTGGTTTGTGCTTATTTGCTTGGTTTTTATTTTTATTTTGTGGTTAAACTGTTGTAAAAAAACAAATAAAAACAAAGTAGAAGAAATTGGAAGGGACCTTTTGTAAATGAGTGAGCATGAAGTAGCAACATACTAGCCCTTTGACAGCCTCAAGTCTTAGAGGTATCTAAATTAAAGGTATTTACAAAAGATAACCTCTTACTGAATGAGAAACTAGCAAAATTTACTTCAACCCAAGGAAAAGAAAATTGATAAGTACTGTGTGAAATAGTACTTTCTTTGATGGAACTCAGTATGATGATTATACTACAGGTACAACCATTGTGGTAGTGGTGGTTGTTATTGATGTTCTCAGCTGCCATCATGATAACAACATGCACTATGGAATGAAACACTTTCTGGTCCTGTGCCATCCCGATTATTGCACATCAGACTGTTAAGATCCATAGGGTTCTCATTGGCTGTTTTTCAGAAGTCGGCTACCAGATCATTCTTCTTAGTCCATTTTAATCTGGAAGTGCTGCTGAAATCTGTCCAACATCATAGTAGCTGCAAACATTTTTATGTAATGTATATTTCTTAAAATTATTTGTGTATAAATACAATCTTTACAAATCATATTGCATTTTATGACATCAGAGCTTACTATATAAACAAAATCTAGAGCTAATGTTTAAAAATAAATAATCTTTTATAATAAATTTATCTTATAAATTCCGTTTTTCCCATATCAGGTATATTTGAAAGGGAAAATATCAATAATAACATAAGTTAAAAAGTATTTCTACTAAGGTCCTAGTTCATATAAGCATGGGCTTGTTTCAAACAAACAAAAATAAACTTCTCTCTGTAATACATTTGTCTTAGTCTTATTAGGGTCTAGCTTTCAAAAAAAAGGTTAAGTCAAAGCAATGACTTCTTGACCAGTTAAATTTAAGACAGTGAAGACAACTCAGAGAGTAATAGTAACATTTTGTGGGATTCCAAAGGGATAATCTTGATAGATTTTCCCGAAGGAAATGGATGATGATGGGGCTGACTATGAAAAGGTTTTAAGAAAATTTAAAACTGCATTGGTGAGAAAAAAGCCAGGAAATTACATATATATATACCCCGCCCCCCCCAATCAGGACAGTGCACTGCTCATTCTTTAAGGGTAAAAAGGACTGTCTTATGATAATTTTGTTCAAATCTTACTCTATCTACTCTACAGCCTTAAGACCCTTCAGGCATCTTTTTGGTCTGAAAACTCAAGGAATATTTAAAAGGAACATGATTTGAGGCCTTCTAGGATGCCAAAAATGCTGTTCAACATGGTGTAAATCAAAGAGTGCAGGATACTTCTAGGAAAGGTTTGGGAAATGGAAACATAGCCTATAGGCCTAGATGGAGGATATGTCAAGAAACAATAGCTTCATATTGTTGTATTTTTGTTTAATAGAGGTTACTATTATTTTGAAGCAATACTGTTTACTTTTATATTTATCAAGGTGCTTGCTTTAGGACAATCTTCTTGTTTCAGTTTTCCCCCTAGAAATTGAAAATTCTAAGCTCCTAAAAAGAAATATACAAAGCTACATCTCTAATCCTTTGTGAACCCTGCTGAGACACACTTTAGAAACCCTAGGATCCTTTCAAGTGGTAGAAAAACTTTCCAAAAAGGTAATGATATATCCCAATTTATACCTGTTTAATGCAGTGCAGTTATAAATAATGTCCTCTGTTACTCATAAAAATCAACCATTTTGATGATAAATTTTATGGTCACCTGATTTTATTTCCCTAAAGCTTTATTGGTGTTAGGAAGACTTTCCATTTTACCCCCATAGTATTAGCATTTAGCTGAAAGCCAGTGTTCTACTTCTTACATGGCAAGAGCACATTTCTTTAGCATAAAAATAGGCTCATGTTTAGATCATATAATATGGCTGCTGGGTGACTGTGACAAGACCTGACGAGGAGGGTCCGAGTGTCAATATACTCATCTCAACTTATTTTTATCCTTGTCCCCAGGCCTGAGATTGGTGGGAAAAAGAAATGTTGATATTAAAAGAAGGAAGTCTGTTTCTGTCAGCATCTTTTGTTTTCTCTTTCCTGTACTTTTTTAGGGCTATACTGTCTAGTTGTTTCAAAATATAAATTACACCAAGCCATCATTTTTCTGAATTAATGCAAACTACATCACAGAAACCTTCACATTGTAGGTCATCTCAAGAAATCTGTGCTCCAGTGATCTAAAACTTGCTAATAGTTCTTGAAGGACTTAGGGATTTTGCATTCCCCAGGTACATATTTGTTCGGAGATGATAGCTTCTTTAATCTTTGTATACCTGGGACCTCCTAGTTCTGTGCTGTGTATGATCTCACTGGTTCACTAAAGACTGCGTGCTAAGTGGTTTTAAAACATACAGGGATGAGGGCAGGAAAGAAAAAAATGTTCTAAAATTGATTGTGGTAATGATTATACAACTCTTCTTGATATGATTGAACTGTTCGATTGTGATATGGATTATGTGCCAATAAAACTGTTTAAAACAAAACGCATAAAGGGATATGTAGGTGAAATTCTGTACATTGGAATTGTCTTTTTAACTGTTCTATTAAGACACTTTTCTCTCTTTTCTTATTCTTCCTCCTTTGCCTGCTGTTTTGTGTCTCTTCTTTCCTAACTTCACAATTCTTGATGGACACAGGAGGCTACCACCATGCCAACACAGCTCGATGCTGGACATACTTGACCGGGGTCATACTAGGAAAAACACTATCCTCTGAGATCCCTGATCATGAGGTAAGTAAGGCTCTGACAAGTCCTCCCTTCTTTAAAGGGAAGAGCTGAGTCATTCCACCTAATCAAAATCACGTCCTCACCACTCAATACCGTTTTGTTGAGAGACACTCCAATAACAATAACATACTGTCTTGGCAGAATAGTAGACTCTTGTTCCCAAATATCTGAGACCTTCTGCCTTTTTTGTGTGTGTGTGTTTTAACAAGAGATCTCAAAGGCCAACCAACTTTAATTTCTCAATTAATTACAGAGATTGTGGGAAGGGGTCACCTGTTCACACAAAGAACTCTTTGGAATATGTGCATATTTTCATCCCCCAGCCTCAAAGAGAAGGGGCTATTTTAAAAATATATAAGCTGAGTTTTTGGCTTTTGGGAACACGTCCTCTAGGTGGTAGGTAGCACATGTTCTTCAGTGGTAGTCTTAGACTCTGGAGTTTCTTAGACTAATGTAAAATTTAATAAGCACATATTTACTACAAAGACATATCTGGTTTTTTTCTAGTTATTAGTGATATACAGCAGTTGGGACAGGATGATCTCAAATGTGAAACATGTTATATGAATTCTCCTTTAGCTATACAGAATAGGCTTTAGGTTTTTCAGGGCAAAAAATCAGTCCTACTTTTCCTAAAACAATTTCAGCACAGATTCCTGAGGCTTGTGAGTGTGCTAATAATCCCCTTTATTCCTACCCATCCCCGTACCCGACAGAAGCATGTCATCACAGTTGAGGATGTGGAATTGTAGATTTTAGAATGTGCAAATTAAAATAACAAACCACTGTGGATAACCCCACCTTCTCAAGCCATTTCCAAGTCTTATTCTCTGGTTATAAAATGGATTCCTCACAGTTCAGAAGCTGTACATGTGAGAAAGTGTATGCTTTTCAAAAGTTATTACTTTGTTAAAAAATTAGAAGTAACTTAAACTGATTTCCTTCCAGTTTTCTTTAACAACAGATAAGGTATAACATGTATAACGCACTACTCAATGTATGTAGAATTCAAATAAAAGGTGCACTATAATTAGAAGTAATTTAATGGTGTTGCGGTTAGTAGAAGTCTCTTCTGGACTTACCTTACCTTTATTCAGTATTTAGAAGCTTTATGAAATATAATGGTAAGTGCTGATATTGTTGTTAGAATATATTAGATTATATTTTAATTTAAAATGATGAAACTTTAAAACTTGATCAAGTTATAGCTAAATAGCAATGATTGAACACACAACATTCCTCTACTTCCTGAATATTAACAACCCCCACCACCCCCCACTATCATGACCCAGTTCTACTATACAAATTTGGCTAACCTGGAGTACGTACATTGGTACAGATAAGAGCTCTCAACACATGAAATCCAGGACAGATAAATCACTCAGGAATAATATTGGGAGTAACGATACCATGAGGGGGGTGAGGGGAAGAGGGAGAAAGAGGGAATTGATCACACGTTTGAATATATAACCCCCCCAGGGGTCAAATATTAAAATGTGGGTGAAGGGAGACAATGGATGGTGTAAGATATGAAATAACAATAATAATGTATAATTGATCAAGGATTCATGAGGGTGGGAGGGTGGGGGAGGAAGGGGAAAAATGAGAAGCTGATACCAAGGGCTCAAGTAGAAAGAAAATGTTTTGGAAATGATGGCAACATATGTACCAGTGTGCTTAATACAATTTAATTATGGATTGTCATAAGATCTGTAAGAGACTGTCGATAAAATGATTAATTAAAAGAAAGTTGTAGCCGAAAGGCAGTTTAATTCTTATAAACTTGGAGTGGGTGTTCTATTCCTAGGAAGCAATAGAAAATGCATAGATTCATCTGTGTAACAAAGTTTGTAAAATTTTAATAAGGATTAATGCTTACTCTGGTATGTGCACTCAAGCATAACAGTGACAGTGAGGATGGCATAGGAACTGGCAGTGTTTCCTTCTGTTGTTCATAGGATTGCTGTGAGTTGGAAGACATTTAATGACACCTAACAACAACAACTGGTAAAGCTATGTGTCTTAATGATGTGGTTGTGACTTTATGGAGATGTTATTTCTTTATACCGAAATACTCTGCAAAAGTAAATGAGGTGCATGTTGAGTGTTGGACTAACTTCCTGGCACATAATAGTTTTTTTTTTTAATTCAAGTGTTTTCTTTCCCATTTGAAGGCTTCTAGCTACTTATACTCCAAAATTGCTAACTATATCATTCATAAGTTTGTCCAACCCCATTTTGAATCCCTCTGTCACGTCCTTTTGATGTGATAGATGTGAGTCATCTAAGAAGAATCAAAGAGGAAAATGGAAGGGCGGTCTTCAAAGTATAATAGCATGGCATTTTAATGAAAAATTGACAAAAGCAGACAGCATAGTATTTCTGTACCTATGTAAGATTTGTTTCACAATACACAGTTGCCTTCAAATATCCTTTTGATCCTCTGAAACCAAATCAAGAAATGGTAGATAAAAAATATTTACTGAGATGTACGAGGGGTTACACCCCGAAAATTGAATTTTTCTAAAGCTTTATATTAAATTTTTTTTTTTACAAAACTACCTTATCACCTTCAAAGTATTCTCCATTCATGGGAACATTTTTCTTATTTTAAAAATATTTTTTCTTTTAAAACATTTTTTAATCATTTTGTTGGGGCTCATACAGCTCTTATCACAATCCATACATACATCCATTGTGTCAAGCACATTTGTACATTTGTTGCCATTATGATTTTCAAAACGTTTTCTTTCTAATTGAGCCTTTAGTATCAACTCCTCGTTTTTGACCTCCCTCCCCGAAGCTCCTTCCCTCACAAGCCCTTGATAATTTATAAATTATTATTATTTTTTCCTGTCTTACACTGACTGATAACTCCCTTAACTCACTTTTCTTTGGTCTGTCCAACAGGGAGGGGCTTATATGTACATCAATGTGATCGGTTCCCCCTTTCTCCGGCCAGCTCTCCCTTCCCCTCCTGGTATCACTACTCTCATTATTGGTCCCAAGAGGCTTATCTGTCTTGGATTTCCTATGTTTCCAGCTCTTATCTGTACCAGTGTACATGCTCTGGCCTAGCCAGATTTATTTGTAAGGTAGAATTGGGGTCATGATAGTGGGGAGTAGGGGTTGGGAGAAGCATTAAAGAACTAGAGGAAAGTTGTACTGCACCCTAACTGTGACCCCTCTGAAAGGGGATGTACAGTTTCCTACAGATGGGCTTTGGATCTCCACTCCATGCTCCCCCTCATTCACACTGATATGATTTTTAAGTTCTGGGTCTTTGATGCCTGATACCTGATCCCTTCAACACCTCATGATCATACAGGCCCATGTGCTTCTTCCATGTAGACTTTGTTGCTTCTCAACTAAATAGCCACTTGTTTAAGATCCCAGAAGCTATATCGTTTGATAGCCGGGCACCATCAGCTTTCTTCACCACATTTGCTTATGCACCCATTTTGTCTTCAGGGATCGTGTTGGGAAGGAGAGCATCATGTAATGCCGAGTTATTAGAACAAGGTGTTCTTGCGTTGAGGGAGTACTTGAGTAGAGGCCCAGTGTCCGTCTGCTACCTTAATACTTAATGTATAAAAATATGTACATAAATCTATATCCCTATCATTATATATAAATATATTTACTTATGTACATGCCTGTATTTAGACCTCTATAAATACCCTTTGCTTCTTAGTTCTTTCCTCTCTTTCCTTTTACTTTCCTCTTGTCCCACTATCATATTCAGCCTTCATTTGGGTTTCAGTAATTCCTTTCAGTTACATTGTCCTTGATCAAGCCCTACAAGGCATCCCACACCCTCTTTGCCATCAATTTTAGATCACTTGTTATTCCCTTGTCGCAGGGTTTGTTAACACCCACTTCCTTTCCCCCACCTCCCCCTCTCCCATGTCCCCCCAGAATCTTTGGTCAAGTTGTTTTCCCCTCAGGATTATTTTTCCACCTCTTTTATCTAGACAGACATACAGAGACAGTAATAAGCACAAAAACAAGACAGAGCAAAACAACAGAAGAAAACAAAACCAACAAAAATTAAAAGAAAAGCCTATAAATAGTTCCAGGTCTCTTTTTTGACCGTTAGGACTGTTTTCCCAATGGTGGAGTCTGATAGGGTGCCACACCCTTCCCCCCAAATCTATTTTTGGTATTCCCCAGGGACTTCATTGCTTTGCTCCCCTTACTGCTCTGTTGCACGCCCTTAGCGTTTTGCCCCCATGTGGTGGGGTCAGATCGGGCACAATTTCAAAACTGTGCCGCCAGTGTTGTCCCTTATAGTGCTATGGGCCAGGGGGGAACATTGTGTCTCGTGGTGAGGCTGACCCTATCGTCTTCTCTGTGAATTGGCTGCTCTGAGAAGGAGTATCATCTTTCTGGGCTTGATGGGCCAGGGTGTATTCCACTTTCTCCTTCCCTCTTCATTTCCTCTTTTGTGCTCTGATCAGACGTGCCCCTCTCCCTGAGCTGTATGTTCATTGTTATGCTCTGAAGTGAATTCTTCTAGGGTGTGTGTGTATGTAGTTGGGATTGGGGCCGGCCCATATACCGCTGTATTGATTCCCTGCTTCGTGTCAATATGTTGCATTCACGTCTTAGTGCACCGGGTGGAAGTCTGTTCCCTTTTGCACCACTCACCTGTGGAGATATAAACAATACCCTCCCCTTGGTTTGGTTAGTGCCCTGTTGCTGTGCTACCCATGTCTTTTTTTTTCATTACCCCTCCTTTTAGTTGGTAGCCATATGTATTCCTGGATTGGGTTTCGTCCCTACCATAGTATCTGGATCTCACCCCAGGAATGTATGTATACAGTAGCTTTTACCCTATGCCCTCTTCACATTTTTATGCTTATGTCAGCAGACTCATGTTGTACTTGTCCTTTTGTGCTTGATTTAGTTCACTTAGCATAATTCTCTCCAGTTCTTCCAATGTGGCAATGTGCTTCATGCGTTCATCACTGCTTTTTAGGGATGCTTAGTACTCCATTGTA